AATGATAACTATCAAAACGCCTGCCATTTGATATAAATAAATAAATGATGAATTTTGATCACCTTTTAAAAATACGTAAAATTATTTTTCTAAACAAAATTAATTACGCGATAAGTGGTATGCAAAAGTGTAAGTCCCCTTTTGGTGAGAACTGTTTCAAATCCATATCTCTCTTCCACTTATGGATTAAGGTAGAAACAAGTGAGGCCATCGGAACAGAAGGTCATTGTGAAGGATTGTTGTCAAAAGGTTTCTCAAATAACTTTACTACTCTTGTATTGCGAATTTAATTCCCCAAATCTTGAACGGAAGTTTCATCCGAGTGCATGCATTTGAGGGCAAGAAATACTTTTGTGTATTTTAGCACGCTAATTACTATTTATAAGTAGGCAAATAATTTTAAATGAATCAGTCACGCAAACGCCAACTTTTTCATTATAAGGCAAGCATCTGTTAACAGTTAAAGACTACAGTAACCATATTTTCGACAATCAGGTAAGATTCTTGGGTTAGTTTTGCTCCATTGAATTACATAGTACCTGAAAAAATAAAAACTTGAGATGTAAATTTTCCAATCTAATTTCATCGTTTACATAAAGTAATTCGTAGGTTCATGATTAAGGGCTTCCTTCTGTTGTTAATATATAGCTAAAATTCATTACATTTGTGAATTGCTTAGCAAAAGTTTATCAATTTTTAAAAGAAGCATTTATATTTAAGTTTTATTCAACAGGAAGGATTTGGATTTTGGTCAAAATTTCATTACATGATTAAATTATCATTTTAACGTACAACTCGAAAAAACATTGCTCGAACCACCTTAGCAATCAGTTATTATTTTGGCTCTATTGCTAAAATGGATATCTGACTCCACATATATCGTCAGATGTCAAAAGTCTTTTCAATACCCTGTTAAAAGATAAAATTATAAAAGGCAAAATTAATTAAATCTAACTAATGACAAAATCCCCTTATGCAAACGAATTGATTTAGCTGGTCTCCTGCCATAACTTGGCATTTGCAAAAACAAAAAATCTATATTTTAAGTGAATACAAAATTCTTGTTTGCACAACCAAGCCTAATTAGGGCCCATTTTTTCACATTGTTGGTAGAGAATCGGCTTTGAATATTCTACATTGCAAAATGAATCAAGAAAATAAATAAGGGCGTACAAAATTATTTAAACTACATTCCATACGTAGAAGTGCAGCGGATTGGTGCACGAAATTAGTCTTGACCTATCCTAGTAGGGATAGGTTCCTGAGGTGAGGTAAGCTATTTCAGTGATGAAGAAAAAACAGATGTATTGTGCATATAGAGTCTGTTGAAACATGATTGGTGATTGAATATATTCAAAATAATTTGGATGAACATTAATAGCTGAGTAGCTGAGACATCCTTTCCATGCACTCCACACTCTCCAGAATGTTTGGGTGTGCACTTAAATCGTGTTATTATTGGGTATTTCACAGAAGCATGGACAAATTTAAGTTGCTTTCATTGATACGACAACCACTAAAACTTATGAAATATTATTATTATTATGTCAAATGGCAGGCGTCTCGATTGTTATCATTAGCCCTTTAGTTGACTTCAGTCTTCACAGAGGGGAAGGAACATCAAAATGTAAAAAATTCAAGAGGGGGGGGGGACGGAGGAGTGTATCAAAGTCGAAGGTAGATAAGGTGGAAAAAGGTGGGATGAGTACTGTGGAAGTAATCGAATATGACATACAGTGGGGTCATGGTAGTTTGAAGTCAACTGCCAGGTAATAGACTTTTTTGCCGTATGAGAATACGTTGCCCAGGGTGCACCACGTGGAGGTGAGTCCATCACACACTCCTCTTATGAAATATTATTAGCTAAACTAATGATTACAATTGCACACGCTGCGGTGTCCATATAATAATAATCCTTTTATATCAGTGAGGAAATTAATACCGATGAGCCAAATTCAGTTCACGAAAATTGATAAAGGCTAACTATTAATAAACAATAATAAAATACTAATTATTAGTGCCAAAATTTGTAGCACATTCCCACCTCTCACCTAGAAGATAATTTAAACCCCCTTCCTGTACATGAATGAAATAATAATTTCTTAATGGTACAAGTCGGCTTACCTCTTTGATTAGTATATATTTTTCGCATTAATCACTTTGTTGAGCGCATCAGAGTCAATTGGTTGAACAATTTTATATTTNTCAGAATTCAACTGCCGGTTTATAGACTTTCTTTTTGCCGTATGAGTATACACTGTCCAGGGAGGTTAGTCTATCGCGCACCCCTTAATCATCAACATTATTATTATTATATCGAATGGCAGGCGTTTTGATTGCTATCACTAGTTGACTTCAGTCTTCACAGAGGGGAAGGAACATCAAAATGTAAAAAATTCAAGAGGGGGGGGGGACGGAGGAGTGTATCAAAGTCGAAGGTAGATAAGGTGGAAAAAGGTGGGATGAGTACTGTGGACAGACTCAGAGGTAGAAAAAAGGTGAGGTGAGTACTGTGGAAGTAGACTAATATGCCATACAGTGGGTCATGGTAGTTTGAAGTCAACTGCCAGGTAATAGACTTTAGTTTGAAGTGAGAAGTCAACTGCCGATTGATAGACTTTTATTTGAAGTCAGAAGTCAACTGCCAGTTAATAGACCTTTTCAGTCAGAAGTCAACTGCCGGTTTATAGACTTTTTTGCCGTTTGAGTAGTCAGAAGTCAACTGCCGGTTAATAGACTTTTTTGTGAAGTGAGAAGTCAACTGCCAGTTAATAGACCTTTTTGCGTTGAAGTCAGAAGTCAACTGCCGGTTAATAGAATTTTTTTGCCGATAGTTTGAAGTCAACTGCCGGTTTATAGACTTCGAATATGACATAGAGAAGTCAACTGCCAGTTAATAGATCATGGTAATTGAAGTCAGAAGTCAACTGCCGATTAATAGACTTGGGGTCATGATAGTTTGAACTCAGAAGTCAACTGCCAGTTAATAGACTTACTCATGGTAGTTTGAAGTCAACTGCCAGGTAATAGACTTTAGTTTGAAGTGAGAAGTCAACTGCCGATTGATAGACTTTTATTTGAAGTCAGAAGTCAACTGCCAGTTAATAGACCTTTTCAGTCAGAAGTCAACTGCCGGTTTATAGACTTTTTTGCCGTTTGAGTAGTCAGAAGTCAACTGCCGGTTAATAGACTTTTTTGCCGTATGAGAATACGTTGCCCAGGGTGCACCACGTGGAGGTGAGTCCATCACACACTCCTCTTATGAAATATTATTAGCTAAACTAATGATTACAATTGCACACGCTGCGGTGTCCATATAATAATAATCCTTTTATATCAGTGAGGAAATTAATACCGATGAGCCAAATTCAGTTCACGAAAATTGATAAAGGCTAACTATTAATAAACAATAATAAAATACTAATTATTAGTGCCAAAATTTGTAGCACATTCCCACCTCTCACCTAGAAGATAATTTAAACCCCCTTCCTGTACATGAATGAAATAATAATTTCTTAATGGTACAAGTCGGCTTACCTCTTTGATTAGTATATATTTTTCGCATTAATCACTTTGTTGAGCGCATCAGAGTCAATTGGTTGAACAATTTTATATTTGATAATTCCCAAGTTTTAGAATTCAAATCTGCAGTGATATACTGTCCGAGATTTTGAGTTGAAAACTTATCCAAAGAGATATTTATTGATTTAATTAGAATTGAACCGCTAAGCACAGCCTTACTAATTAATCTAGGCATTAATGGTAGACTTGACTTAGTTGATAAGCCGAATAAGATTAAATGGCAAAATATTTCTAAGCAGTGCTGACTTTAAAACACCGTAATCACAATAATTATATACTAAATGCCCGAGCTCTCCCTTTCCATTTGTATTAACGCAGCATGCAAAATGGAATAAAAGGAGGGGATAATTTAAAAATTTAGTAAAAAATAAGTCATATTTTATGTATAAGTGGTGAACATGAGTTTATTTTAATCGAAAGTACTTAAAGGGCTACTTCGCTCAACTGATAACGCAGTGCGTAAACATGATAATAATGGTTCGACTATTTTGGAAGTGCTATTTGCATTAGAAGGTATAAAAATTCAATTTCAACCAGTTCAAAGGATTGCAGTCTTAGCGTCTTTGATTAGAATAGCGATTTAATTACAACAAGCTTAAAGTTTTTTCAAAAATTAATAATTAGCAAAATTTAATTAGTATTATGTACATTTCATTTTACTTCAAACCACTTAAAATGTAATTATTATACCTTAACTTCATTATTAGGTTATGTAGCCATTCTCTCTGTTGCATTAATTTTTTATTAAACACAATTTCTGGATATCATGTTTAATTTTTCAAAAGCCTTAGTCAACTCGGAATTTGAATGATTATGATGCAGCATCGTTTAATTTACCTTCATTTAGCAACCTAAAATAAATTATTTATATTAATCGAAATTGGCACCAGTAATTACTGTTTCTTCTTAGTCAAAGTAATATTTTTTCTTATCATTGTCTTTACTATAAATTCTTAAGTCTCATTTTACTTATCGTTTAGCGAATTAATTTTAGCCTCCTTTTTTTATACTCTAACCGCAGATATTTGACCTAATGTATTCCACGATAATAGCTTAATATGAATTGCCAACTTTTTCCAGATGAAGTTGAATATATAAAGGATAAAATTATTGAAAATGAGCATAGACTCTCGTCGTACGTCATAGATTTGCCAATATCGCAAAATTGCCATTATACTCTTGAGTCCAAACTGGGAGAAGGCTCTTACGGAGTGGTATTTTCGGCCAAGCAGCCTTACTCAACTGATACCTTTGTTGTGAAAAGATTTAAAGAGATTTCGGAGTCAATTATGCTTTCAACAATCCGAGAATTATGCTTTCTGAATCGATTAAGGCACGATAATATTGTAAGATTAATAGAAATCTGCTGTGAAATTGGTAAAATCATATAAAATCGCAGAGTTTTTAGATGGTGATTTTAAAATTCATTTCGGTTTGGTTTTGGAAGCATGTGTGTGCAATCTTGAAGTTTTTACTGAAGGCGATGTCATAACCCATTTCTCTCATAAAAAGAGCATTATACAACAAATTTTCCGAGGTTTATCTTTCATGCATGGGTAAGCAACAAAGAATATGGGAAGAAAATTTAAATCGAAGCATAATCAACTTAAAATATTGCATCATTTGTAGTTAAGACAAAGTATCTTTGAAGTCCATTACAATTGATCAACTTAGCTCGTTTTCAATTTTAGTTTAAGTGTACTTCATAGAGATTTGAAGCCTGGAAATATTCTCATAAATCCGAATGGCATTATAAAAATAGCGGACTTTGGATTGGCCCAAGTATATCGGTCGATTTATCAACACCTCTCTCCTAATATTATTACACCCGGTTATAAACCTCCTGAAACGATATGTATGGAAACAATTTATGATGCAAAGGTTGATATATTTTCGATTGGCGTAGTTATAGTGGAACTATTTACAGCAGAACCCCTTTTTCCGGTTAGTAAAAATATTGACTTTATTATGATAACCTTTTCCTCACTAACGCTTTCTTAGTTTATTTTATGGGGGAAATTATTGTGTTAACTGGTCTATTTGATGAACTTTTATAGCATTCAGTATAGTGTAGTGTATTAACTTTTCTAATGTGTAGCAGGTATATTTTCTGACTGATTAAAACCAACAAATTCCTTCAGAAACCGTTGGGAAATTTAGCATTTATAAAGTAGAACAAAAACAAGTTTCGGATATATTCTTGTAACTTTGAGATTATATGTTGATAAATTTGTAAATTATGAATCTGTTTCTTGACATTACAAAAAAGTGTTCAGGTTCAAGGCTTTGGTTGTTCCTTTGTCTCGAATTCAGGTAGTTTTTTGATTTATCAGTTCGGAGTGAGAAGACGACTGTTTGAATACTCTCTGGGTGGCAGTTTTTGTAACTGAAACTGAAAATATGAGCTTGTAATGCTGGCGAAATTTCACCTAATCAGATCAAGTTCTACTGGGTAAGGGGTGATCATCCTTTAAGACCAATCTATTTTAACCCCCCCCCCTTGAAGACTTTATTAGCTCTATTTTTACACTACACCTGGCATTTTTCATTGATTAATTATTCTAGTAAGTAGAGGTACTTCATATGATTAATACTAAAACACATTCTGGCATTACTTCTCATGTTTGCGTCCTCGTAGGAATAAAAGTTCATTGTGTCTGAGTCTCAGACACAAAAATTCGCCTCATATAATGGCCTATTCAATGTAATCAATCAAGTAATTCATTCAGCAATTGAAACTGACTCGCCTGATTCTTTTGTGTTTGTTTATTAAAGGTTAATTCTGATCGGAAATACAGATATCATCTGCACTTCGTCAGCTTCAGCTATTATAAGTTACTCGAACACTTAAATGATGAGGAATTGAGCGTCAATTAAGCCAATATTCTCTCCAGCCAATAGAAAAGTATTTTTAACACTCAAAGTAGATGAGAACTTAGAGATGTTGTGCACAGAAGCAGTGGTTATTCGCTCATATTCTTTATGGTATCTTGATTCAGTTCGCTGTCTTTTTGCTCTTAGTTACTTTGTTATCCTGTGTTTTGCATAAGGGTTCTATAATATATTTTCATTTAAATTGTGTTTTCTAAGTGGTAGGAAAAAAATAGCTTCACGACAGGCTCTTAGTAGATGTTTAGTGGTACTAGTAAAAAAATGAACGAGTGTTCAATGAACTTGCGTGCCATAGGCGAGGTTTAACTTGATATATATTTAGGCTGGCTCCTACCCATCATTGCATGGTAAAATTTATTTAGCATCATTAGTATTGAAGTCAAAGCACCTTACTCTTCATATGCAAAGTCATAATAGCAATACTTTTGAGATTTTCCAGCAGGTATAATTTTGCATAATTCTAGTCGCACTCATCTTCTGAAGGACAGGACAGATCATCCTTGGGTTTGTAGCGAAGGATCAGGCGGCACACTCCCAATTCGCTTTCTTTGGCTAAGAACCAGCGACACCAAACGTTCACATTCATAATTTCTCCCTAGTGCACAAATTTTGGATATGATAGAAATAGTTTGATGAAATTTCTATAATTTGTCAGTGTGTTTTACAGTTTTGAGGCATAATTCTTTGTTTTTATTTTTGTCTCACAGGAGGAAACAACAAGAGAAATTGTTATAAAAATGACCCGATTACTTGGAAAATTTAAAGTTCGCGCTCTTCATTGGGGTGCAAATCGACGTCACTATAACCGCTACTTCTCAAATCTAGCAGATGAGCCACCCACATTGGTGCCTTATTTGGAGGAAAGGGGTGTCCCAGAGGAAGCTATTAATTTAATAGTTGGTCTACTCCAACTTAATCCTGCAAATCGACCTACTGCTGCTGAGGTTCTGGAGAATTCATTCTTTACCTCCGATCCAACACCAGATGGAAACTTTCTACAGCTTATTCCAAGCCATAAAAGATTAATTAGTGAAGATCAAGATGAAGATCAAGATGAAGATGAAGATGAAGATCAAAATGAAGATCAAGATGATTAATTTGAATGCTACTGTGTTACATTCTCGTTATAAAATATCAGCTTTAAGTTAAATTGCTAGATGACATTTCTTAATAAAGTTACTGTCATTCAGACTTCAAAAGGAGGAGTAATGACTAACAGCTCAAGGGACGAGTTTTAAGGAGACGACAGAATTGGTTTCGGGACAAATGAATGGCTACATGGTTAGCCAATAATTACGTCAGAAAATAAACCAGTAGTGGGTGGTTTATCCATTGCGTGATTTTTGCATCAATGTGTTCTTCTCAAAATCATTCGATTAGAATTTTCAACGGTCTCGATAAATAGTGTGCATGTTCCATATCGAAGCATTCTCTTCTGAATTTTATCCTATTAGTGGTAAATGATTTAGACTTGTTTGATCATTTTTGCATTTATTATTAAAATAGGTTATTCCAGAGCGACATTTTACAAGGTTACAAATGACAGTATTTTGTTTCTGTGTATATAGACACTTTGGGGTGTCCATTTAAGTAGACAATTCATTTCCAATTCTTAAGCAATCTCTCGGATTAACTGAGAAATATATGGTTATAAGTGAAGGATCTACCAAAAGTATCATGAGTAATTGAACTTTAAACATGCGATCGGATTCTCACATGAAATACTTAAAGTAGTAACTACTATTGAATTGAGACAAAGTTAATGCTTTCTGTCATTTATCATAAGAATTCAAATCATTCGATGATTGCAAAGAGGATGTTCCTGTTAGATCCCACTTACCAAACTTTTGGTGAGCGCTTAGTTGGTAAGACTAAAAAGTTGCAGATAAAAAAAAGTGATGAAGAACTAGGCCGATACAATCCATTATTGGAGAGTGGTCTAGATTACACCAGCAATTAGTATTGGTATTTTTATTTATTTATTAATTTCAAATGGCAGGCTTTATGATATTTATCATTAGCCCTTAAACTTTGACTTCAGCTTCCCCAAGGGTAATGATATTTATCATTAGCCCTTAAACTTTCACTTCAGCTTCACTCCCCAAGGGGGGGGGGTACATATTACAGCCCATGGGTGGGGGGTACATATATAGCAGTTAATTAATAGCAGACATTAGCAGTCTTCTTGCTTCCCAGTATCTTTGGCTTTCCTGTAGCTGTCTTCTTGCTTCCCAGTATCTTGGCTTTCCGTCGTTGTCTTTAGGACTGGACACCGAATCAGGTGCCCTATCGTTGTCTTTAGGGCTGGACACCGAATCAGGGGGGGCTGTCCTTGTCTTTAGAGCTGGACACCGAATCAGGTGGGTCTGCGTTGTCTTTAGAGCTGGACACCGAATCAGGTGGGTCATCACCATTTCCTCCGCTAGACACCGAATCAGGTGGGTCTTCTCCATTTCCTCCTTTGAACACCGAATCAGGTGGGTCTTCTCCATTTCCTCCTGTATACCAGTATCTTTGGCTTTCCGTACTTGTCTTTAGGGCTGGACATCGAATCAGGTGGGTCTTCTCCATTTCCTCCTCTGGTGAACACCGAATCAGGTGGGTCTTCTCCATTTTCTCCTGTAGAGAATCAGATGGGTCTTCTCCATTTCCTCCTGTAGGTTTCACATCAGGTGGGTCTTCTCCATTTCCTCCTGTAGGTTACAGATCAGATGGGTCTTCTCCATTTCCTCATGTAGGTTACATATGGTGGGTCTTCTCCGTTTCCTCCTGTAGGTCACATAGACAGGTGGGACTTCTCCATTTCCTCCTGTAGGTTACATAGAGTATATGTGGGTTGAGTGTATACTCTCAATCTGTGAAGGTGTTTTGATTGTATACTCCTAATCTGTGAAGGTGCTTCGCCAGATTTCCTCCTGTAGGTTACATAGAGGGCATGTGGGTTGATCGCTAGACACCGAATCAGGTGGGTCTTCTCCATTTCCTCCTTTGAACACCGAATCAGGTGGGTCTTCTCCATTTCCTCCTGTATACCAGTATCTTTGGCTTTCCGTACTTGTCTTTAGGGCTGGATCCCAGTATCTCTGTCTTTCCGTCGTTGTCTTTAGGGCTGGACATGAAAGTAGGTTACATATGGGTGGGTCTTCTCCGTTTCCTCCTGTAGGTCACATAGACAGGTGGGACTTCTCCATTTCCTCCTGTAGGTTACATAGAGTATATGTGGGTTGAGTGTATACTCTCAATCTGTGAAGGTGTTTTGATCTAATCTGTGAAGGTGTTTTGCCAGGCAATCGTGTCCGGTAAGTGGTCTAAACTCAACAACGGCTTCAATTCTTGGCCAGTCAGCTATGTTGGAGAGTGCCACTGTCCACTGTTTCTCCTTACCAGTCGGCTATGTCGGAGAGTGCCACTGTTTCTCCTTTGTTCGAGCTTTAATTTCGTTGCACATTGAGGTCGGTCTCTCCTATAAGTTCGTTGCACCTTGAGGTCTGGAATTCTCTTCTGATTAATCCCTTCATTGTGTGATTTGATTTGGGTATTTTTATTATCTCTTTCACTGTTCACACCGGTTCTGGGCCTATTTTGGAGTGAATAAAGATTGGATTCATTGACTCATATTGAAGATTTGAATCATTTTATGATAGAAAATCACTAATCTTGATCATTTTCCTTGAACTGTCTCTTTGGTTGTTAAGCCCTTTTTTATACATTAAAGATAGTACATGTTATTGACTTTTGTCAATTAATTTTCTTGCAATTTGACTAATAAAGCTTAGGAAAAACCTCTGATATTGGCAGCTTATCTTATTCAATCGAAAGTGTGTGGCGGATTGCTACGCTAGTAAAGCCTGACCGACTCAGAAATCTCTATGGCAGTTTCTCCAACATCTACCTAGACTCCCAGAACAAGCTAAGCTATAGCCCAGCTATGAAAGACTCCCAGAACCAGCTAAGCTATAGCCCAGCTATGAAAGGATTCCCAGAACAAGCTAAGCTATAGCCCAGCTATAAGGGACTAGACTCCCAGAACAAGCTAACCTATAGCCCAGCTATAAGGGAAGAGACGCGTAGCACGGAGCACGTTTATTCAGGACGTATATTCGACGTGTAGCACGGAATACGTTTATTCAGTACGTATATTGACAGCGAATTGTGGTGTTTGGCAAAGCGATTAGTTATCAGATAACTCTAGCATAATTCGCGTGAACATTAATAGCTAAATATTTCTGAGTAATATTCTATAGCAAGATTTCTATTTGGTCATTGATGAAGTGTCCCACAAGTGATCATAAATAGGATTGTAATTTTAATTACATAAAATGAGACAGGTTGATAATTATATTATATGAAAAGACTAGAGTATAAAACTAAAAAACAAAATTGCTTTATCTCAACTAGCTAATTAATACAATGGTGAATGTAATGATAAATGCTAAAATAGGGTAGGGTTGATAGAATAGAAAGAAATTCAATAGAAATTCGATAGCTAAAAATGGTTGAGAACGTATGGGCCAATAAAAGTGAAGATGTCTTCATTTAAATCGATTTATGGTAAAATGTAATAATAAAAATAGTACATCGAGTAAGGTTAGCACCAATAATACTGTAGCGGATTGCTACGCTAGTAAAGCCTGACTGACTGAGAAATCTCTATGGCATATTCTCCTACATATAGCTAGACTCCAAGAGCCAACTAAGCTATAGCCCAGCTATAAAGGAAACAGACGTATCGCACGGAACATGTTTATTTAGTAAACACAGCGAGTTTAGTCATATCCTGGCGTGCGTGATGTAATGACTCCCATCAGCTATAGTGCGTCAACTGTATATTTAAACAAAAACACTGCTTCTGGATACTCCATATTTTTTGCATTCATTTTTGCTTATAAAAAAGCCCACACCAATGGCTAATCAAGTAAAAAGCAACATAGTTGGATTTCACATTAAGGCAACCGATTGGCTAATTGGGTAATTTTAGTACGCAGCTTGAAATGCCGGGGAAACAGTTAAGGCTATACCATTCTCACCTGGCTCCATAATTTGAATGATTAATGGATTTGCTTCGTTTGGACCATTCGTAATCCGATCGGTTGCCGTAACTATGGAAAGCAGGACCATATAGTAGATTAAGGTAGATGCTATCTGAACAAAGACTGAATTCAGGCATCAAAGATCGGATATTTTTATATAAAAATATTCCAATCGGGTTGATATGCCTACATTAAATAAATTAAATTGCCAAAATTGTCGAAATTAATCTATAAGTACTAACTTCTACCAAATTTAAATAAAATAGACAAATAATTAACAAAAGCCTACAATTTATTTCATATTGTCGCGGCATGTAAATTGCAATTCCAAATGCAAATGGCAGCTCCCATAGTGTTAAACTAATGGTAATGAAGTTAAATCTCCATAATGAATTCTCTCAATTAACAGGGACTAACTTACATATGTAAAAAAACACGACAAATCAAGGAACAAATGATGCTGCAAATCAACTACAGAATTTTATAATAAGATGATCTTCCAAATGAATTAAGGGTTAAAAAAGCTTTTTGAACACATACAGTTCGTGCAAGAGGAATCATTACCCAATCATACAAAGAACCAGATTGCATATTCATTCGGAACATAACAACAAAAATTCAGCATAACCAGAAAAGAACGTATCTCTGCAGATATTTAAATGGAAGGCGTCTTGTTCGTTGATGTACCAAACTCCTCTCTTTAACGGATTGAGTTTAGTGAAAGCTTAGTTGGTAAACAGAGCATTTTACCATGTCAAGCACCAGTCTTTCATATCCCTTGCTTTCGACTTCCTCCATTTTCTCCTGGGTAAAATGGTGCACAGTTGATACATTTCTTCATGTATTAGTTCACAACAAAATTAATCACATTAAAGTCTCATTATTAACAAATAGAATTATTGGGAAATTC